AGAGTTTCAACTAAATCATTAAAAAAAAAAAATGATGGATCCAAAGTTATTCTATACTTTTTTCAAAAGTAGGTACGCAGGAGGTCAAATTTTATTTTAGGTGTCTTTGATTTGATTTGTAACTCTAAAAACAATTCCTTAGAACTCAAAAAGTAAAAAATTATTTTCAGATAATAATTTTTTATAGTAATTATAACTTAATTTTCAGAAAACGTTTATTTATTTATTTATTATTATTATTTTTTACAATTTTATGTTTTCATATTTATAAACCAACAAGCCTTACTTTCTTGTCCTTCATTTAAAAAAATTTAGATATTATTAATTTTTAATCGGAGTGACAACAAAATTTTAAACCAATAGAATGCACGCTTTACAAACACTCTACCCGCACTGGTGAAGAACCTGGAGAGACATAACCGAAGAACCCCGGAGGGATACTCGATCTCTTCAATCAGTCCATTCTCTTCGATTTCAATCGTCTAGTTTGATTTCTCACCGACACAATTACTAATTAGATTTAGACTTTTAGTTCTAACACAATCTGTTGATTGCTTTCATTTCGATTTTGAAATGAGTTCATCAAAGTTTTGCTTACCCGCATTACTTCCTTCTTCTATTTTGTTGATCTTAAACTGTCCTTTTGTGCTAATTTGTACTGAGTTTGTATTTTTACTAATTCTAGTTCGTCTAGATTTTAAACGTTCATCATGTAGAAAAAAAGGTGAAAGAAAAATGATGCTTTCCCTTTCAGAGTTTCATTTTATTCATTCCCACTCGTGCTTAATATAACATATGTTGCCACATTTCAATTTTCTCGTGTGTTGACATATTTGCTATTTGGGGTGTTTTCTGGCATATATTTGACATGAATTGATGTAATATCATTCCATAATTATTGCGTTTTAAAATATTTTTAATCAAATTATTTAGTTATGCAATTTTTTATTTTATTTTATTATAAGAGATAAATTTAGGACTAAAAATTATAGTATGAATGATCAAATTGCAACTGGTCGGATTATATACTTCCAAACAATGTGAATTAGCTGATACGGACGAGTACAGTAATGTTGGTCTCTCAAAAACCAACAAAGTTTGATATTACCAATGGTGATCTAACTCCTGAAGTTGTTTTCTTTCATTCTCTTGCTTTGTCCAAATCACCTTGTTTTTATGGTGTTCTGATAGTTTCAGTGCATGTGATTGATTCTTCAGCATCATGTTTTGCTTCATCTTATCCTTCCTGCTCATAGTTGTTAAAGGCTCGAGGCGCCAAAGGCTTTCTGAAGCCTAAGTGTAAAGTGCAGTATAAAGCAGTATCCTAATCGAAGTAAGGTAGCCGGGGGTAGGGTCCAACCACATCCATTCTCCATTGAGCGAAAGGCCATGTGCTACTCATGGTGTGCAACTATTCTGGTGGTTGGTGCACGAGGGGTGTGTATCTTTGACAATTATCGCATCTTCTGGAATACTTTTCGGCCTTTCTTGCCATATAAGGTCAGAAGTAGCCTTGGGTTAGGGCAATGTGAGCTAATGACCTTCCCCCGAAGTGATTTCCGCATTCTCCTTCATGTAGTTGCCTCAGGACTTCTCTTGACTCCGTGGGAGGCAGGCATTTGAGATATGGACCCGAGAACGAGCGTCAGAAGAGTTGCCTGTTGATAACTGAGTACTTTGCAGCTTTCAATCTTAACTGCCGAGCTGTTTTTTTTGAGTCGAGGAGATCTCCTCTTTCTAGGTATGCTAGAATTTTGTCCATCCAACTCTGTTCCCTTGGTATGACCAGTACCAGCAACCCATTTGTGATGCTCGGAGTATCCAAAACGTCGACAGGAATGAGTCTGACCATCGAATCATCTGCCACTGAGGTTGCGCAAGTCAGGTGGTCGGCAATTGGATTATCTTCCCTTAGAATTTGTCTGAATTCTATTATGTCAAAACCTTTTGCCAATTTTTCCACATCCTCTCTGTATGCGCTCATCTTTTCTTCCCTGGGGGTGTATTCACCTATCACCTGTCTAGTTACAAGTTATGAATCATTATAAGCTCGGAGATGTTTTACCTGAAGCTCTTTGGCTAATCTTAGTCCTGCCAACAATGCCTCGTAATTTGCCTCTGTAATGTTTCCATTTTTCACCATTTTTCATTTTTTTGGAATTTTTGTTGTTGCAACGGCATCCTCGTCTTTTCCCGTTTTGTGTACCGGACGCAGTGGAGTGTACCGGTCGTGTCCGAGAGTTGGTTAGGGCGTTTCATTGAGTTTAGGACTCTTTGAAATGCAAGATTGTCATTTTTGCATTTTTTTTGTTTTTCGAGCCTGACGGTCCTGTGCGGGACCCGCTACTGAAATCGTTGTGTACGGGAATTTTTTTTTTGGGTCCATTGCATACAATGTGCATTTATTTTGGGCATAATTACATTGTTTAAATAATGTGTGTGGTTGTGATTTAATTGATGTCTGTATATATGTATAAAATTAAAAAGAAAAAGATGGGATTTTAGTGGTGGAACCCACCACTAATATGTTTAGTGTGGCCAAGAGGCCATTTTGGCCTCTTATTTTCTATCTCCCCGTGAAATCTCTCTCTCCCTCACTTTTCTCTTTATTTATTTATTTATTTATTTTTAGTTTAAAAGCTTCAATCCTTGATTACTTCTTCAATTGTTGGAATTTTTGGGTGCCATTTACGGCAAAACGGAGAGCACGGCGAGATTTACGTGTGAGTACAAGATTTTCATCATTTGGTGCACCTTAGGATTTTTAAAAAATTGGACCCATTTGAGGGATTTTCTACAAAATTAAGGTAGGGGTTTCTAATTCCCAATGTCTTGCACCTTTGTGAATTTTTTTACAATATTTGTTATCAAGCATACTTAATTTCAGTTGATTGCCTCTAAAATGATTTAATTGTTGTGTATGAAGTTTATGACTGTGCGTATAAGTTGATTTGTGTGAAAAGTATGCTTAATTGTTGATTTTATATATTTATGTGCTTAGTAACTTGTTAGAAATTGCTATATAGATACATGTTAATTTATGAATTTTTGAAGCTCTTTATTGTCATAGCATTGTAAGGCATTAGATATTCATGCATATCATTGGCCATAAAAAGGGGAAACAATTTGATTTGAAATGAAAAAGGGGCTTTGGGAAAAAGTTTTGACAAAGTGGTTTTGAGGAAAACTCGGACGTCGAGGAGGTACTGAGGGTCCGTTGCGTTAATGTAACCTAGAGAGAACTATGGAAAACACCCTAACGTGGTTGAGCTATTTGGGCCCCAAATGACGCCGCGAAGGTACCAAGGGTCAGGGACAGTAGCCAATCCTTCTCTCGTGTCGCCGAGGAGTCACCAAAGGACGGGTTATATTAACGGTTTGGAAAATGATGAATGTTTTTTTTGAAAATTGGGAGCGATATAGCATGTTATTGCATTTCATAGCACCACCTTGTTCATTTGGACTTGAAATTGATGTTGTATTTCTCCCAGCATAGCATGATCTCATTCCCTATTGTTCTATTCATTATTTAGATTCAGCAAGAGGTGTATCTTAGGTCCCACCTACTGAGCAATTTGATCACCCTTTTATTTAACATTTTTCAGGTCATGGGAAGGAGGTGACGGATGACAATCCACCACAAGCTTGATGGGGTGCTAGAAGTTCATTTTTGTTATCTTTTGTATCTTTGAGCCATCCTTTTGTAAAAGCTTTATTTTGGAATGTAATTAAGCATGTTAGTATGTCCTTGTAATTTAACTATGTACCTTAGCACCATTTTGATGTAAATTGATCTAAATGTAAAGACTATGCATGATTTTTCATTTGAATGGTTTTATTGATGTTGTATCATATCAAAATGTTGATGATCATAAGCATAGTATGCAGTTTTACCACTTGAAGTGTTTTTAGAACAAGTTTGAAGCAGATTTGCAAAGTTTTCCATGGACCATTATTCATTTTCAGGATTTCAGTATTCTCAGTAGCAGAAGTTGCACGCAGAGCCATTTCGGCCGGCCGAAATACCTGTTTCGGCCAACCGATTTGTCCAGAGACTTAAGTTACTGTTGAAGTTTCAACCGGCTGACCGAAATGCCTGTTTCGGTCGACCGGTACAGAGGAGGTTGCTTCGGCCGACCGAAGCTCCATTTTGGTTGATCGAAGTGCATCTGTTCTGTTCTTTATGTTCTTTTCTCCGACGTAATCTAGCCTGAGCCTTCGTGATTTGCATTGAGCAGCTGTGGAGTATAATTATGACTTAAAAATGATGTTTTGACATTAGAAATGATGGGAATGACTTAGGTAACCTCGGGTTCGGGGTAAGGACCCGGTTAATAGTTCGGACCCACGGGTTCGAGTCGTTACAAATTTGGTATCACAGCAAAGGTTCGAAAACCATCAGGACGACGGGTAGAGGCCAACCTAGGGTTGCATGGGATGGCATTTGCATTGATTATGTGGATTATATGCTAAAGTGATTTGTTATGTGAAAAGCATGTTTAACTGACTACTTGCTTACGTGCTTATGTGCATATATGCTTCTGTTGATGTAATTGTGTTATTGTTCGCATGCTAAGTGTTAGTTTTGCATCATTTTTTATTGAGTTGTCCACTGCTGGACTTTGGTGTCGTCATTATTGAACCATTTTCTCGTTTTATTGCACGATACCACCACGAAAAGAACCAAAGGGAGTTAGCTCTAGGCCGACAAGGGGTGATATTGGTGAGAGCTCTAGCTCCAATCCCGCGGAGCAAGTGGATGAGGATACACTTCTTAGGGACTTGATTCCTCCTAGATGTGTTTCCACCAGGAGGGATGATGTTGTGACACCCGCTGAAGTGGGTGAGGTTCGGCGGAACTAGCATTGAACCGCTTGTTGCGGAATGCCTTGAGGGCAATAATTACTTCTTTTCCGCAGCTGGTACCACAACCTGTAGTTCAAGTTGAGGAGACGTTAGCACAAAAACATCTCAAGTTGATTGCGGGATTTTCTAAGTTAATGCCGATGATGTTTGAGGGTGGTGTAGAGCCAATGGAAGCTGACGACTACATGGACCAAGTGGAAACCCACTTGACTTCTATGGATGTGACGGATGATCATGTGAAAATCATCTTGGCTACCTACTAGTTTTCTAAATATGCTAAGCTTTGGTGGAAGTCAGTCACCAATCAGCACAAAGTTGAGGAGATGAGTTGGGAGATGTTCAAGGAGTTGTTCTATGAGAAGTATTTTTCGGATACCAAGAAGTGGGAGCTAAGAAAGCAGTTTGATGATCTCATCAGAGGTAATATGTCAGTGACGGAATATGAGAACAAGTTCACTTCTCTTTCTCGCGTTGCTCCTGAGTTAGTGAGAAATGAGGTTGACAAGACAAGGAAGTTTGTCTCTAGCCTTCATTATCAAATAAGGCCGTTGATAACGGCTCAATACTTCAAAGTTTATGCGGAGACAGTGGAAAGGGCATTGATGTTAGAGGCGGAGGCTAAAGATAGGAATGCAGGAAGGGAGCAGTGGAAGCAAAAGAAAAATACATGACCATCTTTAGAGGGATTTTCATGGAAGAGAAATAAGGGTAGATCATCTCAGTTTCAGGGGCAGCAGTCTGCACGATCCGCTCCTACTACTCCTATGCCAGCTGGGTCAGATAAGAGTGGAGTTATTTGTTTTAAATGTCAGTAGCCTAGACATTTCAAGCCCAATTGTCCTTTGAAATCGTCTACAGTTTCTGTAGCACCGATAACTTGTTATGGGTGTGGCTAGCAAGGCCATATAATTCGGGATTGTCCAAATCGAGGAACAGGCACGGGTAGTGGAAGAGGGTCACAGTAGAGGCCGTTACAGTCAGCTATGGCTCAGTCAGGTTTAAGGCCACCGCCACTACCACAGCCTGCTATGTCTTCGCTGGGTTTACGGCCAGTTAGGAGGGATACTCCTACTGTGTCAGTGTAGCAGTTAGGTGTTCAAGTTAGCAATTCTCAAGCACAGGCACCGCAGGGACGTGTCTTTGCACTTGCACAAGCTGATGTATCTTTTGGACTATTAGATCTCCGAGGTATCTTTCAAGTGTTTGGTTCTTGGGCTCATGTTTTGTTTGACTCTAATGCATTTCATTCCTTTATATCATCATCATTTGCACTGGCATCGAGGTTAGAGGTTAATTTCATAGATTGGGCGCTGTGTGTTGACATGTCAGTTGGGGTTTCAGTGTCCTTGAGCAGAGTTGTGATAGATTGTTCCATTGTGATCGCCGGACGGACCTTTGTGTTTGATCTCATCCTCCTAGAGATGACTGGTTATAATGTCATTCTCGAAATGGATTGGTTGATTTCATTTCATGCTACGATCGATTGCTTCAGAGGAAGAGTCACGATTTACACTCCCGAAGGGGATTGCTTCTTTTTCGTGGGAGATTGGAATGATTCTCACACTTCATCGTTTTACGGGATTCGTGAAAGAAGTCGTAGTGATTACTTCTTGGCTAGTCTTTTAGTCGAAGAAGATGATATTGTGGAAAGGGTTTATCCAGCAGTTGTTTGTGATTTTTTGGATGTCTTTTCGAAAGACTTGATGGAGTTGCCTTCATACCGAGAAGTGGAGTAGACTATTGATTTGATGCTCGGTACCGTACCAATTTCTATGGCACCGTATCGTATGGCACCGATAGAATTGGAAGAATTAAAGGAGCAGCTTGATGATTTGAGGATGAAAGGTTTCATTCAACCAAGTGTGTCACCATGGGGAGAACCTGCCTTGTTTGCTAAGAAAAAATATGGTTCTTTGAGGTTGTACATCGATTACCGGAAGTTGAATCATGCCACCATCAAGAACAAGTATCCTTTACCGAGGATAGATGATTTGTTTGATTAGTTGAAGGGAGCCAGTTGTTTTTCGAAGATTGACTTGAGGTCAGGCTATTATCAGTTGAGAGTAAGGGATGAAGATATCCCAAAGACGGCGTTCCGTACTTGGTATGGACATTATGAGTTCCTTGTTATGCCTTTTGGCTTGACTAGTGCGCCAGTGACATTCATGGATCTAATGAACCGTGTCTTTCACGATTACTTGGATCAGTTTGTAGTAGTTTTCGTGGATGACATTCTTGTGTACTCACGATCTCAGGAAGAGCACAAGATTCATTTGAGTATAGTGTTGCAGATTTTACGGGAGCACCAATTATATGCCAAATATGAGAAGTGTGAGTTTTAGCTACAAGAGGTGAAGTTTTTGGGGCATGTTGTTTCAGAAGGTGGAGTGTCGGTTGATCCGTTAAAGATTGAATCAGTTTTGAAATGGGAGCCTCCCAAGAATATGTTTGAGATCCATAGTTTTCTTGGCCTAGCGGGTTATTATCGTAGATTTGTGAAGGATTTCTCCCATTTGGCAGCACCTATGATTCGCTTAACCAGAAAAGGAATCAAGTTCATGTGGAATGAAGCCTATAAGTCTTCCTTTCAAGAATTAAAGACAAGGTTGACTACAGCTCCAGTGTTGGTGATACCTGAGCGTGGCTTAGGTTATGTGATTTATTGTGATGCTTCACGTGACGGTTTGGGGTGTATGCTGATGCAGAGGGATAGAGTAGTGGCTTATGGGTCTCGATAGTTAAAGACTCATGAGTACAACTACCCCACTCATGACTTGGAGTTGGCAGCAGTTGTTTTTGCCTTGAAGTGTTGGAAACACTACTTGTATGGTGAGAGATTCGAGGTGTTCTCGGATCACAAGAGTCTCAAGTACCTTTTCTCCCAAAAGGACTTGAACAACAGGCAAAGGCGATGGGTTAAGTTCTTAAATGACTACAATTTTGATCTGCAGTATCATCCGAGTAAGGCAAATGTGGTAGCTGATGCCTTAAGCTTGAAATCCCGTGGGACCTTGGTTGGTTTAGCCATTCGGAAGTGGAAGATGCTTGAGGATCTGGTAGGGATGTGATTGCATTGTTTTGATAATGATGTTTGTAGTGAGTCGGCATTCTTGTTTAGTCTCGTAGCTCAACTTACTCTTATTGTACGAGTGATTAAGTCACAGAGACAGGATCCGGATTTGGATGTCATTCACGTTTTGATTTCTAGTGGTGAGACAGTGAAGGATTGGGCCTTGCATGCAGATAAAGGTCTTCAATTCAAGGGTTTGATGGTTGTTCCCACAGTTTACCGTGAGGATGTTTTACAAGGGTTTCACACTTCCCACTTTATAGTTCATCCAGGTGGTACCAAGATGTATCACAATTTGAGACGTCAATATTGGTGAAACGGAATAAAGAAAGATGTGGCACAGTTTATGGCTAAGTGCCTTACCTGTCAGCAGGTGAAGGCCGAGCATCAGAGACTAGCTGGTTTGTTGCAACCATTGCCTGTAACGCAGTGGAAATGGGAGCAGATTGCTATAGATTTTGTGATAGGTCTTCCACAGTCCCGGAGGGGCAATGAAGCCGTATGCGTCATTATTGATAGATTGACTAAGATGGCTCACTTTTTGCTTGTTAAGGTAACAGATGACGCAGAGGCACTTGATGTTCTTTATGTGAAAAAAATTGTGAGGTTGCACGGAGTTCCAGTGGCCTTTGTTTCAAATAGAGATGCAAAGTTCACTTCGAAGTTATGGGAAGGACTGCAAGTAGTGTTTGGCTCAGCGTTGCACCTTAGTACGGCATTCCATCCACAAACGGACTGCCAGTCGGAGCGCACAATCTAGATCTTGGAAGATATGCTTCAAGCCTGTGTACTTGATTTGGGAGGTAGTTGGGAGGATCATCTTCCCCTCATTGAGTTTTCCTACAATAACAGTTATCAGGCGAGCATTGAGATGGCTCCATTTGAGGCGTTGTATGGCAGACCTTATAGGTCTCCAGTCTGTTGGACTTAGGTAGGCGAGACATCCGCCTTAGGACCAGACATTGTACTCAAGATTACTGAAAAGATTAAACTGATCAGGCAGAGATTGCTCACAGTTCAGAGCCGACAGAAGAGTTATGCGGATAAGTGGAGATGGCTGCTATCCTTTGAGGTGGGAGATCATGTTTTTCTACTGGTTTCTCAACGAAAGAGTTTGCTGAGGTTCGAAAAGAGTGGCAAGTTATCGCCACGATTCATTGGACCTTTTGAGATCTTGAACTGTGTAGGAGAGGTGGCCTACAGACTTACATTGCCACCATAGTTGGACAAAGACCACAGCGTTTTTCATATGTCGATGTTACGGAAGTATGAGCCGGATCCGTCTCATATTTTGAGTTGGGTTGATGTGGATATTGATGATGATGTTTCTTATGAAGAGAGATAGGATGATACCGCTAGTAAAGGTTCTTTGGAGACATCACGGGGTTGAAGAGGGTACTTGGAAGCTTGAACATGAAGTTTGCTCCAAGTATCCAGCGTTGTTTTCTCCCTCAGGTATGGCTTGATTTCGGGGATGAAATCCTTTTAAGTTGGGGAGATTGTAATGTTTTCCATTTTTCACCATTTTCCATTTTTTTGGAATTTTTGTTGTTGCAAGAGCATCCTCGTCTTTTCCCATTTTGTGTACCGGACGCAGTGGAGTGTACCGGTTGTGTCCGAGAGTTGGTTGGAACGGTTCATTGAGTTTAGGACTCTTTGAAATGCAAGATTGTTATTTCTGCATTTTTTCTATTTTTCGGGCTGGACGGTCCCGTACGGGACCTGCTACCGGAATGGTTGTGTACAGGAATTTTATTTTGGGTCCATTGCATATAATGTGCATTTATTTTTGGCATAATTATATTGTTTAAATAATGTGTGTGGTTGTGATTTAATTGATGTATATATATATGTATAAAATTAAAAAGAAAATGTGGGATTTTAGTGGTGAGACCCACCACTAATATGTTTAGTGTGGCCAAGAGGCCATTTTGGCCTCTCGTTTTGTCTCCCTGTAAGATCTCTCTCTCCCTCACTTCTTTTTTTTTTCCCCCTTAGTTTTCAATTGTTGGAATTTTTGGGTGACGTTTGCAGCAAAACGGAGAGCACAACGAGATCTACGTGTGAGTACAACCAATTCATCATTTCGTGCACTCTAGAATTTTCAAAATTTTGGACCCATTTGAGGGTTTTTCTACAAATTTGAGGTAGGGGTTTCTAATTCCCAATGTCTTGCACCTTTGTGAATTTTTCTACAATATTTGTTATCAAGCATGCTTAATTTGAGTTGATTGCCTCTGAAATGATTTAATTGTTGTGTATGAAGTTTTTGACTATGTGTATAAGTTGATTTGTGTGAAAAGCATGCTTAATTGTTGATTTTATATGTTTATGTGCTTAGTAACTTGTTAGAAATTGCTAGGTAGATACATGTTAATTTTATGAATTTATGAAGCTCCTTATTGTCATAGCATTGTAAGGCATTAGATATTCATGCATATCATTGGCCATAAAAAGGGGAAGCAATTTGATTTAAAATGAAAAAGGGGCTTTGGGAAAAAAATTTGACGAAGTGGTTTTAAGGAAAACCCGGACGCCGAGGAGGTACTGAGGGTCCGTGGCATTAATGTAACCTAGAAGGAACTAGAGAGAACACCATAG